TGTCCATTATTACACAATTCCACTAATCCAGAAATTTTGTATTCATAGCTGGAAAGTCTAACATCACTGTTTTGACATTTTTCTGAACATTGATAGTGATTCATATTAATAGCTACAATCTCATCCTCATACCTTGACAAGTGACTCCAAGATATTTATAGTAATTATGTTGCAAGTAACAATAGTTAATTCTTTTTGAACAGTGAAGCAATGATTGCTTGGCCTCATTACAATTGAATTCATAAGGAAATAATGGAACATTAGTAAAGCTAAGAAAAGATTTGGAAAAGCTAGGTGTAGGTCCTATTATAACAAGGATGAAGTCAAAATGGTAAGCAATGCCAATCAACATACCATGTGTGTATCCAATAACTTCACAAATAGTTACTGCTGCATAATAAGAATAATGGCTGTTTTCAGAACATAATCCAAACCAAACATTATTGTAGCATATTTCAACTCTTCCTTGCAGTGTAACAGTTTTATTATATAAACGTATCTGACCATTAGTACAATTAGAGTACTCAACATTCTGATCTATTACGTGTCAATTTTACAATGATTAATATTCTATAACTTAATTACCATGGCATGCAACAGATGCAGCATCACTACATACTTTTCCTTGTGTGACAAAAGGACAATCCAACAGATTGCTTTCATTTCCAGTACAATTGAAGTAAATAGTGTGCATAGGAATGTATTTGTCGTAGTTAAGATAATCTACTGATAGTGATCCTACAACATAATTTTTAACATTAAATATATTTTTAAAAATTAATCATAATAATACCTAGTGCAGTGTGGCCTAAATGTCTACATACAATTTGAGCATCATTATGAGTAAAAAACTCACTACACATGGCACCCCAGATGCCATCAATACAAACTTCAACTCGTCCAATGAAATCTGAGTTATAACTAGATCTATAGGGCTGTAATCTAATGTTTCCATTAGTGCAATCTGTCAGTGTTCACATAACAAATTTTATAACTAATGTTCACTTACTGTAACATTTAATGGCTGCTGTGTACTTAACATCACACCATGAATTTTTAGTATAATATCTTAAATTACATTGCTTCATATTGGTAGCATATTCAGGACAATTAACGTATTCCATTAATATTGGAAAATTACTAGCATAGGGAGATTCTGCATAATATATATCACCTCCTGTAAAAGCAACAATACAAACTCCAATTCAAGTATGTATGTGTATTTGCTAACCAGTATTATGACCAGCTTCTTGACAAATCAAACTAGCAGCTAATCGATAATAATCCCTGAAGCAAAATGTACCCCAAACTCCATTCATACATATTTGTATTATTCCTTCATTATCCATTTTACCATTAACTAAGCGAATATCGTAATCAGTGCAGTTTGAGTAAATTGTATTGATATCTAAAATAATTATAATTGAGCATTCTACCATTATGTAAGTATTATACCTTGACATATGACACCAGCATCATCATAGCTACCGCATGATGCACCACTAATTTCATAGGAACAATTAAACAATGTACTCTCATCACCAATACAGTTCAAATTATAAAGAGAGTGAGGCAGCCATCCCTCAGCATAGTATGATGTTTTAGCTATAGCTCCTATGACATGGCAACAACATAACTTTTTTTATAATAAAAACTTACCATATGGAGAATATCCTAATTGCTTACATACAATACTAGCATCAGCATCATCCCATTCATTATCACATATTGTTCCCCATGTTCCATTAAGACACAATTCAACTCTACCAAAACTATCATGACTATCTTCTCCCCTCAAACGAATTTTCCACTCAGTACAAGGAGCTAACAAACAGATCAAAAAGGCACAATTACGTTATAAGTTTATACCTTCACACCTGACACTAGCATCATATTCGCGGCCACTATAACAAGAATAAGGATAATAATTACAGTTAAGAAGAACAC